ATGACTACCATTGAGATTACGGTAAACAACACAGCATTTGCACTGACTAAGCTTCAGTCCTTCACTTCAGATAACGCGGCTGTCGATGATGGGCTATGGCTGCAAAGGGCCACAGCTTCCCACATCGTGAGTATTCCACAACTTGAAAAGGCGATGGGAGGTCGACACCCCATGAACAGCGTTAATATTAGCGCTCATCACGGTAATCAACAAGTGAGAACGGAGAAGGAAGGGAAGGTAACTACTTCCCTCACCACACGAAATGTCCAACCCATACTGACAGCCTGACACTGCACGCAAAGGTTATTTGTCACAGCTTGCCAGCGAACCGCTCACAGGTGGATGTTTTATTCACAAAGCGGTCGCCCGATCATTTCGTGATTGTAGCAGTTCGTCTTGGCAATGTCCGCCTATCACTGCGTTCATCTGGTGTGAACGTAGCTCATTTCCTGTGCAGATCACCAACCACGCACATTGCTGAGTTCAATTCAGAACACTTCGCCATCGGGATTGTTGTTTGACTTAGGGCCGAACATCTGCGCTTGGGAGGGCGTAGTGGAGCGTCACTTGATCAATTGAGTAGCACCTAATCTATCCGTATTTATGGTATACTCTTAGGCTAGTCTTAGCTACTGTACTGGTATAGCCGTTGTTCAGATTTATAATAGCTGTAGCTGAACTGAAGATCTAAATGCACGACAGGATAGATGCATTGGCAATTAATTGAATTATGCTCTAGCTCATTGTGGTCAGCGGACGTCCTGCTGCTTATCACGTGATTACAGATCGATCATTGGTCGCACCTACATGTACATGTACGGAATCATTGTATCTACAGTTATGTATCCTTGTACTGCATACTACTAGTATCCCCGGAACGCGTGGTGCCATGGGATGCCTCAGTCTCACCGCTCTTGCTTTGAGTCTTGGTCGTGTTTCCTTGTCTTTGTCACGTGACATTTGTGGATACTCTCACCGAGTCTCAGTCTCTGCATACACTGATACATTATACAGCTGCAATACAGGTTTGATGCATGATGCGGACGATTACCATGATAATATTGATATCTTCACTTAGACTTCAGGATTATCCGCCCACACTAGGGCCACAGTCTAGCCTACGGAGTCACGAGTGGGGACATGGTGCCATGTTTGGCGACTGTAGTTGGGAGTACGAATGAGCCGTGTCTATCGCTTCTCACATCGGCATGGCGTTCATTGCACTCGTAACAGCACTTACACGTATCTCCATTCAGACCAGCACCGCTATTAAAATTTTATCATGTTCTTATAGTATATACCACGGTTGGTATCCTTTGCTGAGCTAGGTTTGTCAATGTCACTTTCACGGCGATTGTCCACCCCTATGTTTCTCGTAGAATGACCCGCGCCGTCCGCCCGGCAGTCATCGCTGCTCTTCTCCACGCGTCTGTTCCACTTCACGCAGTCATGTCTGTGTCACCGCATAGTGTGCGTGAGCGTGTTTGTGTGCGTGTGTATGTGCGTGTGTATGCGTATTCCAATCCTAGCCAGGCGAGTCTGACTGGGGTATGGGGAAGATGGTGCTTGATCGGCTGGGCAGACGCACGCCTTTCAGCGCTTTCGCTTCCTGTTGCTCCAAGTGGCTGCCGCTGCCTGTGAATCATACGCCAATGCGTCATTGTAATCTCACTCTAACATATCTGACTAAGATATAGACTCAATACACTATCCTGGCCGATGTCCCTGCTGCAGTACTGCGATAGTGCATTACCGCGTGTATGGCTTCCAGGGGTGTCTCTTCAATCCACGTGCCGCCAAATACACGGCCATCGACCGCGCATCACGTCAATCCGCCGACGCCGTTACTTCAGATGGTCCGCATCATTGTGCCATGTGGATTTGCAGAAACGTCAACACCATTGTACTTTGTAGCTCATACTCGATGGTGTACATGACTGTATCACTCTTAGTATTAATGAGTTATGCTTCTACAAGTAGATGGCTTTGTATAGCCCTCAACAGCAGCTCAAGGTGAACATTTATCGAACTAAGATGACTCCTCAACCCGCCACGCATCAGCTCCAGTAAGTACATGTATTGCATAGTGCGCTAGTTCTAACCGTTTCAGCAGTACCCAAACTTCCCCTTGCAGTGTGAGAGAAGCCAGGAACCATACCATCCATGGTGGTGATGAGCTGGTTCCGACCACGCCGAAGGGCATCGTACATCAGGAATAAACTAACTTTTAGGAAGGCTGTGCAGCACTTTTGAAGTTGAAGTCGCCCCATATCCGATCTCAATGATCCAGTTTGCTACCGGTGGCCACTCAAACTCAAAGTCTGGACCACTGCTGACTGTTCCAGGCAGGCAGTATGCGCTAGACGTGTAGTTACTTTTGTACATGTATTCCTGGCTCAAAGACGTTTAAAAAAGTGGTGACACCGATCCGTACTCAGGTCGAGCTGGTGGCAGTGACGGACAGGCTGTAGATAGACACACACACACAAACACACACACACACACACACACACACACACACACACACACACACGGCTGTAGATAACAGTTAGACACACAAATAGTGCATGCACGTGTAATAATTGTGTCCCCAGTATCTCAGGCATGGTGGTGGCCTGGCAGAAGTGAAAATTACTTCCTAAGCTGGTTGCGTTTCTCAACACAATTGCATAGCCGGTTCAGTTGTAACGCGGACGTGCGAACTTTACTTTCTAAATAAACATGTCTACATGTATTGTACATGTACATGACTGTATGCTTAGGTCACGCTGTTACTGTTATGGACAGCGAGCCAATCATACAGCCCGACTGCCACCGTCCGTGCAGAGCTGCCATGGTCTGGGTTAGGTCCTTAGGAAGAGGAACCTTGAATAATGAAGTGAGGGCAGCCTCTTACTAGTCTTAGTCCAACGCCGCTTTGGGCTGTCACTGTCAGTGTCAGCCAAACATTCTCTTCACTCGGCTGGCAGATCCCTATTGCTTGTCGGCTCTGCGTGGATCTAGTGCGCGAAAGAATCATCACCTTTCAAGGTGTAAACTTCACGGACGATAGTGTCCAAGTACAGTGTAATCGGGACACAGCAGAAGACCTTCAGATGAGTAGGGACTGACAAAGAAACACAACTGCATTGTTCGCGGTCTTAAAACTCCGATGACGTGCGAAGTACTCTGTCATGGTGGGTGTAGGATCTGTGCTAGGATAAAACAGACATGTAGGGTCATTACCAGGGAGAAGAGTCCTAACCTGTCTGCTACGGGAGCAAATTCCCATGGTAACGGTAACTGGTCTCGGGAAAGTCACTTAGCCTTGACTGGGGGGGGGGGGAGTTTGGGATGAAAAACGTAAGGCCCTGGCCGGCCAAATTTGTATACATGTAGGTTCCTTGGAAGTATTCGGAGTTTCTCCCTACATTGTACTTACTGTTGTCTGATGATCACCTGGTGGTGCGTCAAACTCGGAGCTACAACACAGTCTTCACCCTCTCCTTCTTCTTGTCGTACATCCACCACCATGATTGTACTGATGATGTGCCTTGTAGATGTAGATACTGTATGTACTGTATGTACATGTACTGTGTACACTGTCATGATTGTATCAGTATGGCACATGTGCACTGCAGGGTTGGGCACAGCAGTCTGGTTGGCCATTGGGTGATCGACATGTCTGAGTTGTCTTGAATGCTTGATAATATTGACACAGCCGGCCACTGCTGCAAGGCGCTGTCCACCATGATCCACTCTGCCAACAAAAAGATGTGAGTTCGTACTGTAGAGCATACTACTGACAGATAGTGATACTAACCTGTATGATAATGAGTCCTGAGCCCTTGCCATGGATGTACACGTAGTGTAAATGTACATTGTGTCAGGAGTTTTGAGTGGACTTTCAGCCCGCGGCTTCCAGTCACCATAATCTCTTTGTAAAGTTTGTGTCTGTGTGACTGTCACCAGCTGCAGTGCATCGCGGCCACCAAGCCTTCACGTTCAAGGCGTCATGATTGTTAGATCTGCTTCTACATGTACAATGTAGTTCTACATGTACATGTATGTGCACTTGCCTATGCACTACTGCCACTAGCCTCTTGGCAGATAATGCTCACAAAATGAATAGGCAGATTCTGCTGGAAAAGCAGTGAAAATGGCAGAACCATGCAAACCCGGCTTATGGCAGGGCTGCAGGGACTTTCTTGAATTCTGCTACATTTCTTCATCCACATACCGAACAATACTGTGACATGCATGAAACATTAACGTTTTAATACCAGAAAAAGTACATGTACAAGATTCCGCCAATTATTTGTCAGGTGGTGTGAACATACATAATGTACATGATTGGAAATTTTTATTTCCATTGCTATCAGGTTCGGCCTCATTTCCTCTGTGCTGCGCTGACGAGTCCACAAAGGACGAAACAGTTCTGTCCGCAGATTGAGTAATATACAATGTACATGTACATGACTGTAGCTCATTTCCAATTATTACACTCCCCAGTCTACACTACAGATCACACACCAAGCAAGGGCTAGTGTGCACTTCCACAGTGAACTACAATCATGTACATGTATGTACAGTGAAACCTGTCTAAGACGACCGCTCAAGGGACCTTCAAAATGGGGTCTCTGCTACCAGGTGGTCTCCTTATCCAGGGTTGTTTGACTGCGAATAGCATCCCTGGGTCCCCGGTTCCAGTGGTCTTCTGAGGCAGGTGGTCGCCTTATCAGAGTGGTCGCCTTGACAGGTTTTACTGTAGCTCCAGTGGCCAACACTAGTAATACATGTAAACCAGAACACTTTTAAAAAACAGGCCGTTCTTCTCAAGCCAAGGCTTTTTTTACTTTTGTCATTTTTGTCTGTGTGCATGTGGTGCACACACTCAGACTGTCAACCTGGCCAGTGCATTGGCCATGTACATTATACATAATGGACATGTACATGCGCCCTACGTCAATGTATGTCATGATGTATGTGTACGGACTTGCACGTGGGACAAGACAAAACCCCGCCAACCACCAAGCAGGCCAACACATAGTGACATGATGCAGTCCGAGCTCGGACAACGCGGCCGGGAGTACAGATCGGCTGCAACGCCAACAAGGCAACAACATCACTGAGTCAGTCCGCAGTCCCATGGCCGGCCATGTCACGGAGACAAGAGATAGCCTCACTCGTACAGTAATAATAACACTATGGACGGTGAACACCTGACAAGCAGCTAATCTGAGACTAGCTAAATGGCATCGGAGTCTCTAGGAAAATCCACACGTCCTTTTCCTGTAGATCTAGACGAGAGGGAGGACTGAGCTGCTCTGTCCCGGACTGTTTACAGCTAGCTCCTTCCGACCGTGGAACGCAGTTCAGAGTACTCGTCTGTAGTTGGTAAGCCTCCCGAGTCTAGGCGCAAGTCCCAACCCCAAACTTTGACACACGAGAAGCTAGAGATCAGCGATAGTGGAGCAGCCGCCCAAGCAGCCGCCAGTCCTACTCTCCACAGCGCACAGCCGAACGTAAGGGAGCTCCCCAACGGTTGTTGTCTTCTAGAACTGATCCTGTTCAGCATCAGCCTGTTGAGTGTTATCTAGAAGCAGTGTTGTTGCTGCGTTCGCGTGTGTTCTACGGTCTTGCACATCGTCCGTCACTATCGCAGTGTCAGCTCATAGAGGCAGCGCAGCACAGTTTATGCAAAGTCTCAACAAGCCTGCAACTAGTGCTAGTCGCTCTCTTGGCTCAGTTTACTCAGCAGAACGACTTTACGCCAACCCATGGTTGCAGCAGTGACACTCAGCTGATATTACGCACGGCGCAATCGGCGTTGAGTCAGTGTATCAATCAGCGCTCCGCGAGGACGCTTTGCCTTTCTCTCCCTCTCGGCGGCATTACCTCCAGCTCAGGCCGACTTGCTTGGGGAATTGTGTGAATGACATTAATCTAGACAGGCCGCAGTGTTCGCCTGCTAGTAAAAAAAGGATTTGCTTGGTTTGGGCAGTGTCACATTCATTGCAACCGTTTGATAATCAGCTATCTAGCTATTTCTATTTGCAGCGCGCTTGACGCTTCCGCGATTTCGTGGGCCAGTTGCAGTGCATGCAGCGCTAGTGCCCCATCCAGCACCCAGGTAGCTGACTAGGAAGAGCAGTTTGACTCATCGTCTGGACGAGCAACAGCGCAGACAGTAGTGTGCAGTGAGGTCGTCGCACGAGCAGCAGCGCAGCCGGCTGGCCTTGCCTGTTCAAGCAGTACACGGATCAATCGCTAAAGGTGAATAGCTACACGACCACTTGACATTTTGGGTCATTGTCGAGAGCACCTCTCGCTAGCAGCGCTTGCGAGCTTGGCGAGCTAGAAAAACGTGTGAAGTCATTGGCGAGCTGAGGCCATTCGCCGCCACACGGTGTACGCTGTTGTAGCCCCTCCACTTCAAGCTGAGCCCACCGTTCCGCTGGAGGCCGTATCGTGGCGTGTGAGCTGGGCGAAACTTCTGCCCGGCCGTGCGGTCGTGCAAGCTCAGAGTTCATTGTTCGCCATCGGAGCTGGCTGTGTGCATCGTTGATCCTACCGTAACGAAAACCAGTCACCTCCTTGTAGCCCTTACATCAACACTACTTCTCTACTTTTCCCTTAGAAACTGTTCCCGGAGAGTATTGAAATAGTTGCCTGTTAGTTCGCGCTCACAAACAGTTGCAACTCGTTGGGAGCACGTTGCGTCTCGCTCATTCCGCGGGAAAGGAGACTTCTTGACACCCGAACTCGTGCAATACGTCTTGTTCTTGTGTAATTGCCGCTGCGGCTGACGGACAAGGACTGAAGCAGCGTGATCACGGTTCTCAGCAGGAATCTACACGGTCGAGTGTGCTGCATACGTGCGTGCGGAGTGTAGAGTGCGAAGAATTTCGTTTGAACAATGGATGACCTGTACCACCCCACGCTGGCCGGCATAAACCTGGTCGTGAAGACGTTGGTGGGCACACAGTTCGTTGTGGAGGGCATTCTGCCATGCGACACTGTACGCACACTGAAGATGACCATACAGGACAGCCATGGACTGCGGTACAGCACGCAGAACCTGCTGTACGGCCGCCAGCAGCTGGACGACGACGATAAAGAGCTGCAAGAGTACGGTATTCGCGACAGTGGTGCCGTGCTTACGCTCGTGGTGACGTTACGCGGCGGCCCGCTGAACGCACGCCGCGCCGCGTCAGCGTCATCCATCGAGCCGGACACGGAGATAGTACTGGAACTGCTGGACGGTACGGACGTAGTCGGTGCGATAACGCTGGACGAGGAGATATTCGACCTGATTCCCGGCACGGACGGCAAGCCGTTCTTCGTGTACGTGCAGGACGACGTGGCCATGGACATGCAACGACTGGCGTACATGGACATTGACGACTTTTACGGCCACCTGGCGGCAGACTCGGCGGACTCACCGCTGTTCGGAGACGGTGAGGGTGACAACCCGTCGTGTTCCTCTCCCATGTGCTCCAGTAGACCTCGCACCCGGTCTTACAGCGGCTTGAAACTACGACGTGACCAGGAGGAGCGAGAGGAGATGGAGGTCAAAGTCGAGCGTCTCCGCGCCAACATGTCGCACGTCAAGAAGCTGAAGCAGATCCACAGCAACATGGGTAGCAGTATCAAGCATTCCACGGCGACGGCGACGACAGCTGAGGCAGACGACAGCGGCCACGTGTACATCCACAGTCCCACGCACTCTGACTCTCTGTCGCCGCTCGGTGTGCTGAGCGACACGCAGTCCCCGTTGACCGGACGCAATTCGTGCGAAGACGCGCCGACACGCGCGCAAGGTCCCACGCCGTTGAGAGCATCGTACGGTGCGGGCACCGGCAGTAGTTTGGATCATCACGTCGACCCCGCATCCACCGCGGCGGCCGCCAATCACTCCGCCGGCGCGCACTGTGTGACAGCTGCAGCCTGCACGACCGCACGTCGTCATTCTCTCATGTCACCGCTCTCCATGCCCGCTGGTGGCCCGTCGCCGTCCAACCCTGCTGCTGCATCAACGGCAGCGGCAGCAGCAACTGCACGTCGCACACAACAACACTCGGCAACGCACGAACGCCGTCCTCCGTGGGAATCCAGCTCCGGTAGCGCTCAAGACTACTGGCGCGGCAGCACCATCGACCACTACGTTGCCAGTAGCAACGCAGCCAACCCTGAACACAAGGCCATGAGAGGTGTTGCCAGGACAACGGAGCAGAAGCCTGGCAACCGTGCTGCAGCGGCAGCAACGGCGGCAGCGTGTTCCAACCCATCTCGTCACCTTAGTAACCTGCTTCAGTCCAAGAAGACAAGCAAGGCGACTGGCGGCGGAACGCTGACGGACATTGCAGAGTGGGAGAGAGTTTCCCATCAAGCTCCAGCCGCCGCGCGGGAAAGCAGAATACCGTGCAGCATGCGTCAGAACCCGCCGCCGCCGTCGTCTGCCTGCAAACGTGTACACCACAGTAAGCTGACACAGGAACACAGTGAGGCCATGCCACCGCCACCGCCGCCGACACAGCTGCTGCCGTCGGAGTCGTCCTGGCATCCGGCGCCCGTTCCGCCGTCAATGCTCGCCCGTACTGCACCTCACAAACACCGCAGCACAGCCCTGCCCGGCGCTGCACGCGCAGTCAAGGACAAGACAGACACTCGGCTAGTCCAGGCCGATCACACGCCACTATCGCTACCACCGATACACCCTAGTCTGGCCGGGCAAGTAACGGCAAGTTCGTCGTCCGTCACCAAACTTCCCAAGGTCGACATCATCCAGGCCAAGACGAAAGACGGCCGACCGCCTCGTCAGCGCTGTTCGCAGTGTGGTAAGAAACTGACGCTCGCCGGTACCTTCAGCTGCCGCTGTGGACAGCTCCTGTGCACAAAGCATCGCAACCCGGAATGTCACCCGTGCACGTTTGACTACAAGACACAAGGTCGCCGAGAACTGAAGCAGGCCAATCCACGCGTTGCTGCGATCAAGCTGCCCAAGATCTAACGCTGTGGCGGCTGCAGCTGCAGGTGTTTCTTGGATACGAGTGCTGCGTGAGAGTGCGAGTATGATTGCATCTCATGACTCCACACCATGTGGTCTGATCATGCAGTGATTATAGTAGTGTTGCGTCAAACATTACAGAACAGCAGTGACATGCTGCTTGACCAACAGTACCTGTTGTTGTGCATCACCCCCTCATCCTCGTGTACAATTGACCTACATGGCTGTAGCTTGCCAAGAAGCGGTGCTGGATTGTCTTGACTTTTTCCTGCAATATTCCTGCGGACGTACCCTGTTGTACAAATGATTCATGTCGCATGTCCTTCACTGATTCTTATGTTTGTATAATCCCCTTCTCCATCATGCGACCGCAGGTGCTTGTACAATGTACATAGTAAAAGTTGAATACTCTGCTTGCTACCAGTTGCTGATTTGTCTTGCCTGAATCTAGTCACGCTTTTTCCCCCCTTCGACACTCAGCGTGGTTTTGAGTTTTCCCCGGTTTGTGAATCGTTGAACAGACGGATTCGCGAAGCGCCGGCTTGTACCGTTGTATTCTTTTTCTTTTAAATTAAAAAACCAATGAAAGCAAAAATCACTACCACTGTGTTCCATTCTGTGTGTGTGTGTGTGTGTGTGTGTGTGTGTGTGTGTGTGTGTGTGTGTGTGTGTGTGTGTGTGTGTGTGTGTGTGTGTGTGTGTGTGTGTGTGTGTGTGTGTGTGTGTGTGTGTGTGTGTGTGTGTGTGTGTGTGTGTGTGTGTGTGTGTGTGTGTGTGTGTGTGTGTGTGTGTGTGTGTGTGTGTGTGTGTGTGTGTGTGTGTGTGTGTGTGTGTGTGTGTGTGTGTGTGTGTGTGTGTGTGTGTGTGTGTGTGTGTGTGTGTGTGTGTGTGTGTGTGTGTGTGTGTGTGTGTGTGTGTGTGTGTGTGTGTGTGTGTGTGTGTGTGTGTGTGTGTGTGTGTGTGTGTGTGTGTGTGTGTGTGTGTGTGTGTGTGTGTGTGTGTGTGTGTGTGTGTGTGTGTGTGTGTGTGTGTGTGTGTGTGTGTGTGTGTGTGTGTGTGTGTGTGTGTGTGTGTGTGTGTGTGTGTGTGTGTGTGTGTGTGTGTGTGTGTGTGTGTGTGTGTGTGTGTGTGTGTGTGTGTGTGTGTGTGTGTGTGTGTGTGTGTGTGTGTGTGTGTGTGTGTGTGTGTGTGTGTGTGTGTGTGTGTGTGTGTGTGTGTGTGTGTGTGTGTGTGTGTGTGTGTGTGTGTGTGTGTGTGTGTGTGTGTGTGTGTGTGTGTGTGTGTGTGTGTGTGTGTGTGTGTGTGTGTGTGTGTGTGTACAGTGTGCACTGCCGTGTGGGCACGTATCCCCTGTGTGATGGTTGTCTCGGTGTAATTTCAAGCGTTCAACTTCGATCCTGAACACAGAACTGATTGTAGAAAGGAACTGGACACGGCATACCAGTACACCATGGTACACACTGAGGTATTTTGCGGACGGGACTCCTAACTGTTTACGACGAATTGACTAGATTATCATACCATGGCTGGGTTTGATATGATTGTAACTATGGAAATTGGAAGGACTAGATCATAATAATTTAAAAATATATAGAGAGCATGCAGACATCCAATGCCCATGCAGTACGTGTATGATTCATTATTTCATTTGCTCGTCAAAGAGGCTTTGTTCCACCACCACGCCGTGCTTTGTTCATCTGTCAGCAACTCGTGACTAATCAAGTGATCTGCCGGAGAGTAGCGGCACAGAATGAGCTGTATCTCTGCATGGCTGGCTAGCGACGTGGACAGACACTGAGACAGTGACACAAAGCTGTTGAGTAGATCTAAGACTACATTTTGTAAGGCCAGTAAGGGTACGAGTACGAGTAGCTGAGTGCAGTGTGCCAACCCACTCAACCCACGCAGCGCACCAGCACCAACTACAGACCGTTATGCCTATTATGGGCTGTATGGTCGTTACGGTGCTTATGCTTACCATGCACGACCAGTAAGAGTTCTAAGCATGATAACCTTATTGCCACATTGGGTAGTGACTAGTGGACTCTTGCTACGTGTGTCATGTAGACTACCATGAATGGCATGATAATGAATGGCAGCCTGCAGCCTGTTGGCTCGGTCACTACCTCTGTGGTCATCAGGCTTCAGGCTTTATGCCATGGTCGTGGGCACGTGGCGCAGGGTCGCTCTACTCAGACTGCACTGCACTGACAGGACTGCACTGACAGGACTGCCTCACAGAGTGCCACTAACACTGAATGACACTGTTACAGTCGCACCCTTTTTAATCCAGCACTTTATAAACCAGCACCCTCGATAAACCAGCACAATTTTCAGTAGCCAAAATGTCCTCTTCATGCACTTGCAGCAGTAAATCCGATTTGTTAATCCTGCACCCTCCCTAATCCAGCAGATTTTCCGTGGCACAAATGGTGCCGGATTTTAGAGGGACCACTGTATCTGGTTACCGGTATGTGCTACGCGTAGACCTACGGCGACCGATTGCATGATTGATTTGTTTAACTATTTCGGGCTGTAGCCAGTGCAGGAAATGATGTGACCGTGTACATGTAGAGTAAAACCTGTGACTAACGACCACCCCTTGGGCCTTGGGGCCAGAGAAAGGGGTTAGAGGTTTGCACCGCACAACCATGTACATGTACGTAACGAGACCGTCCGTGCCTGACGAAGTGGTCTTTAGTACCAGACTGGTCGCTAGTCACGGTGGTCTTTAGTACCAGACTGGTCGCTAGTCACGGTGGTCTTTAGTACCAGACTGGTCGCTAGTCACGGTGGTCTTTAGTACCAGACTGGTCGCTAGTCACGGTGGTCTTTAGTACCAGACTGGTCGCTAGTCACGGTGGTCTTTAGTACCAGACTGGTCGCTAGTCACGGTGGTCTTTAGTACCAGACTGGTCGCTAGTCACGGTGGTCTTTAGTACCAGACTGGTCGCTAGTCACGGTGGTCTTTAGTACCAGACTGGTCGCTAGTCACGGTGGTCTTTAGTTACAGGTTTTACTGTAAGTACTTTTTTATACGAACTCAGAGCAAGGGTCGACTGCAAAAGCTAAAAAGTTATTGTCAGCTAACAAGCTGTTGTTGTAAGCTAACGATTACATACTACAGCAGTAATTGTTATTCTGGCTTTTACCATTTCTTAGAATGGCTTTTACCATGTGTATTTGGATAACACTAAGAAAGTAAGTTGTGGACATCACGCAACGGTGTTATGAAGAAAAGGAGGTTTGCCAACTGACAACCTTTATTTGGCTAGCAGTTTATAACACAGGGGGGGGGGGGGGGGAGGGGGAGGGGGTAGCGTGCGCATGATGCAGACAATAATCAAGAGGGCATTACTGTCTTTACGACTTTAGCCACTAAGTTACATTGTACATTTTGTACGTGTTGTTGCACCGGTAAACAAGTGGTGGTTACCAGTTACCACCGCTTCCTTTCTCTGAGTCACTATGGCAACTTTCTCCTCACTTTTCCGTTTCAGCCTTTCTTCTGTACCATCTGTTTCTCTCCTCCCTCCCGGTTTGAATAAAATTAGAAATCTATACATGTACTACTTGTACTAGTAGTATCTGTTCTGGATGCGAATGACCATAATGAGGGTATTGCTCTCACACTGCAATCACGAATCTTGCAGCATGCAGGATACGCATGGACAGTGCTGCCACAGTTGATGAAATCCGATGAAATCCGATGAAATCCGAGCTTGTGGCAAGCCCTACGCGTTGTAGACATAAACCTTGAATCACACCATATCGGATTTCAATGAGCAGCACTGTAAACGCAACTTGGCAGCTTGGATACAATGAAATCTGTCTAAGACGTCAAGGCGTGAAGGTCCTTTGAGGGGTGACCTTCAAACCGTGGTCTCTGTTTACCAGGTGGTTTCCTTATCCAGGGTCATTTGACCGGAAATAGCATCTCTTGGTCCTGGTTTCATTAGTCTTCAAGGACAGGTGGTCACCTTTTCCGAGTGGTCGCCTTGACAGGCTACTTCAGTACTTGGTATACTCTACAATCATGTCAGTACTGTATAAGCAGAAAATATTCGTCTGGAAATTAATTTCGTCTTTTTCGTCCAAGGATCTTTTGGACTAAATTAAATTCCGGACTAATGTTGATTTGTCCAGCTTTTCAATACGCTCTTGTGGTCCATGAACTAAATTTTCAACCGGACGAACTCCCTTTCTTTGGAGTTGGACGAAATTATTGACCAGCGAAATTTTCTGCTTATACAGTACTTGGATTTGTCCAGCATGATACATGTACCTGTACATGTATAATTATCATGGATGGACCTTGGTCCAACACTGTACGACGACGTCATCAGTTTCTTGCCCACTGCACTCTGAACAGGCATCCAGGGATCCTGGGAGATCCAGGGACAATTGTCACCATGGAGATAATGGTGATTAACGTTAGGCACATGTGACCAGTACATCAATTTTGTCATCCAGGCAATCAGTCAATCTTACGCTGAGATTCGAATAGAAAGTTCAGGACATCAATAGCGAATACGAATCAAGACCTAGCAAGAGACATGTGCAAAGCAAGGAACGGATCCTGAGTCATTAACAATAAAACGGATGTGACACTATACCCCGTACTTCAACTTGAAAAGTTCAAATTGACATGACAATTTGAACTTTTCCGTCGCCACATGTGAATGTACCTACTCAATCAAGGTCTCCAGTCATAGGAGACCTAGTCGTTTACCAGAAATAGACCTACTAGGGGCTTGAAAAGGCCGCAACAGAAGTTTCCTATAGAATCCCGTGTAAGCACTTGCGAACAGACACTCACAGGGTAAAAATACGTAAGCATGTCAGCCACCTACATGTAGAACTGATTCCTCAGCCAGACTGCACAAGCCCTCTCACCTGTGAAATGCATGCACATCAGAGAGACAAAGCGGACGTGATTGTGTTCATTTCAAGACTTGGACTGCGCAGGTGCAGACGTTGCTCGTTCTGGTGGCGCTGACCTGCTACCCTGGGAAGTGGAAGGAGTAGAAGACGGTTTCTTCACGGGTCTCAACTCAAAATGCACTTGACGACGGTGACCTGAGCGCTGCTGCTTCGACCGCTTCAGGGCTGTTTTTCTCGGCTTTTTCCGTATTGCTTGTTTTGGCATGCTGGTCCACGGCTGCTGTTGTGCTTTTGCGGACGTTTTGGAAGGTGGTTTGGGTGATGCTGAGCGATTACTTTGCCGTGATAATCTCAGCTCCGTCGACTTGAGACAGCGATGGCAGTTGGGTATTCCGATGCGCAGTTGGTCAACAAACGCAAGCGTGCCACGCCCTCAGACGGGTCCAACGCTGAACTTAGCTGCCTTGGCACCGGCCTTGCGACCCGCTCTCCCTGTGCCGCTGCTGGCATCGTCCGCTGAGATGAGCGGATTGTTCAGTGTGGCGTTATGAGTTCCCTTCAGTACTGTGTGCTGCACTGACGAAGGAAGCTGAAGGAGTACACGGTAGAACAGGCAAAACGGAAGAAACAACTTAGAGTGAGTGGTGGATGGGGAATCCGTGATTTTGAGCATGGAATTATTAGTGTTGGCATACCAGCACACAAGTAGATTTTGGCAAAGTAAAATACTGTTGGTTGGATTCATATCGGCCGCAGTGTTTCTCGCACAAGTCAGCTTAACTTGAAATTGATTCGCAAGTTCAAAGATAAAGCAATGCCGACACAAGCTATCAGTTACAGCAGCATACACAGGTGTGTGATACCCCTTCACAGCCGCTTCAGCCAACTAATGACGGTCTGGCCTAGTAAACATGGACTGGCCAACTGAAGATGATGATAAGCACTATGCTGATCAGATCGGGTCTGACCAGTAAAGTGCATAGTGTCTGTAGAGCATAAGACAGACAGACTGTGCTAACTAGTGACACTATGCTCCCCTGCCGCTATTCTCTGTGCCATTGCAGTCCTCAACACCGACCCACCCAAATATATACATGCACGCACACATTGACCTTTGACGCCCATCGCTGGAGGCGATGATAGCGATGCTGCAGCAGAAGCCACAACAACTTGTGCTGGGATTGCACCATTCAACAGCTTGCAAGACCGCCACTATTCAGCCTGGTCTACATCGCACAGTGATTTGAAGTGGTATTTCTGGCCAGTGAATCCCTAATTTTTGGTTTTCCTTTTTCTCCGTACGCACATCATACACCGTAATCCGATATGCACTGGCTGCTGGTAGTCCCTCAAGAGAATGAAAAGAAAGTCAAGAGAAAACTGAGAAAAAGGAGAGAGACGTGCGTGACTACAATCATCGGGAGTTGGACCCACAACTTCTCGATCAGAAATGGACTGCATATACCACGACACCATGTGATACACATACACACACACACAAACTCAGACACACGTACACATGCATGCACACATACACACACACACACATACACATACACATGCGAACAGTTACACACACAAACACACACACACGGACACCGTGACACACACGAACACACACACACACACACACACACACACGAACACACACACGAACACACACATACACACACACATACACAATGGTATAAACGGCAAGAGTAAATCAACAAGACTGTTCACGTGCTGCAATCCACCCACAGCACAGCATCAGCCACTTACCTGATAAGCTCCCGGTCCCGGGGTGTTGCTCACTTGGTTATTGAACCGATCCGTCTTGGTCACCATCAAACTCAGTTTAGTGTTCTTGCCGACTGCCTGGTACTGCTCAGTACCGTAACGACCCGGCGCTGTGAGCATGAGCACATACAGCCAGAGACAAGGTGGAACTTCACACAACACAAACGTGTGTGCCACGCAACATGAATCACGAGAGTGGTTATGCATATATATGTACAGACATGTACAATGTCATAATATATGCTGGAAACACACTACGCATGAAGAGCTGAGATCCGGAACCCGAAAAGCGCCAAATTTGAGAAAAGCCGATTTTCAGTTCCGTGCACTCAACACGTCTCAGGGCACCACACCGGGCAAAATTTCATATCCAAAATCTGACAAGAACCATTTCAAAACTGGAACCCAAATATGGATTCAGATACAAACCGCACATAAAAGGAACCCCTTGTTGGCCATTATCCGAAAAGTGATGAAATGGATCTAGCGGGTTCGCATTCCAGCTCTTCACATGTACATTGCCGGCCACAGCTCTGTGTGTGTTACAATGCCCAGTGTTGCTCTATAGGATTTCAAACCAACCAGGTACACGTGTACCTGGCACAACCCTTGCAACCGGGTTGGAGCCAGGTCCGTTCAAGTGTGGCTGCTGCATGTACATCTGGGAGTTGTAAATATGTCAGGACTCCCTGATGTACATGTGTAATGTATTCTCAATCGGGTCACAGGTGACCTGGTATTCTTTTTCAAAACGGGTTCAAGTACCCCCAACCGGGTCACAGGTGACCTGGTATTCTTTTATAAACGGGTTCAAGTACCCCCAACCGGGTCGCTGACCCGCCTGACCCAGCTCTGGAGCAGATACTGAATGCCAGCAATGTTACCTGGATTCTTGGGGTCGCCGGTTCTCTTCTCCATGCCCGCCTCGGAGAATCGACTCTGACCAGCGAGGAAGGACGTTTGCCTGGCCTGCGCTGCCATGGTTACAGGCTTGGCTTTGCTCTGCTGAGCTGGGCAGGGCGGAAGTGAAGGAGTGGCAAAGACCATCAGGATATTCGGGTTATAAAGTATAGTGGAGCTCACTTACAACATACAATGACAAGGCATATTAGAGAGGTTCTGCTACACGGAACTACGTACCAAACGCCGTGTCAACTGCAGTGAAGTTTGACACGGATTTTTCGTACGTTGCACCGGTTCTGCTGTACGTAGCATGCTCGAACCATGCGCGAACACCCCGCCACATGTACTCTGTACGCTCACTTTTCACACGGAGTCCGGTCCGTGTGAACCGCGCTTCACACGGAAAACAGTATGAAAAAATCCGTATCAAACTAAATCCCGTACCGCGGCGAAGTTTCCATACGTACTTTGGCACGTTATACCGTGTGGCAGAACCTCACTATTCTTGGTTAATACAGACATTGTCTGGAGCAGGGGGGGGGGGGGTATTGAGTCTATTGACCCATAGTAAAGTATGACATTTGGATAAGAAGTACCTCGGATACTAAGAACACCTTGGATACTAAGAACACCTTGGATGCTAAGAACACCTTGGATACTAAGAATACCTTGGATGCTAAGAACACCTTCCTGAAGTCCATGGGTGTGTTTTATCAGAGTTCAAAGGCTACTGTCCATGCATTAGTTTGAGCCATGACTTGCACAAGAGCTACTGTGGGTTCACTATGGAGTTATTCGAGAAAAATCCAACATGGATAGAACGTGTGTACAATGTGCAGGCTGACTCAGTTGGACATGATGCTAACACAAGCACAGTCGCATTAACAGTGATAAAGCAAAAACTGCCGCTGTTGCGCCAGCAAAAGAACTCCTAAGCCCCCCCCACACACACACCCACACACACGCACACCCACACACCACACACATATACCCCCACCCCCACACACCACACACCACACACATACACACACACACACACACAAACTAACTGTGCATGGCTGCAAATGACTGAGCAACCTCATACGATCCCGGAGGTGGTGCTTCCTGCACGACAAAGCCAAAAACAACAACACAGTACTATTGTACGTGATTGTCCACATGCTCTATCGCTGGAGGAACATTGAGCTATTGCCTGATATCTGGCATTACAAAGCAGTAAAACAAGCCTTGATAAACGCTGCAGACTGTCCTGCACGCTTCGTGTTCATGATTGCTAAGGCAGGAAGTCAACAGGCTCATATTTTTTCTTCCAGCCTGTAGCTCAAAACTTTTAGTGGCAACCTACCTGGAATACACGAGTTTCGAGTAGAAAAATGGCTTCAGAATAGAATTCCAAAAAATTCAATTGAAGAAGTCAAAGAATCGACGAAAATCGGCGATCGCAGCACTGCATGTCTAACGTACGGATCAATCCGTACTATGACCCCTAAAGTGTTAAGTACACATTAGCTGCTGTACAAGCCAAGCCTGAGACTAATCTTCCAGTCAATCGCAATTAAGTCTTGTGGATTCGTATCTCTCCTATCTGGACCTCCAAGTTACGGGCACCTCGGTCCACCCGGCACCCCGTGGGTGAGGTTTAGTGGAAGGGTTACTACTCGTTTGCCAAGTTTTGTTGAAATAGCCACGTCATAACCCAGATCTCTGGCCCTTCCCATCGAAGATATGGGCATTTCCAAGTTATGGGCAGCGCCCGGTCCCAGAATCCCCATAAGAGAGATACGAGTGTATGTATAAACACAGAAGACCCGGTCATATATTCTCCCAACACAGGATAGGAGGTGATAAGACCAGCACAGTCCACTAGCTGGAGGTACCATTCTTTCGCGAGTTTGGGGAAGACTATAAAAAGTTTACGGACAACCAGAAAAAACTATCATGCTTCACAGGACCTCCAAGCGTCTTGTTCAGACGTTCAGACGGTCTACCATTCACAGAAGTGGGGCCGGTATACAGATCTAGTGAGTCGAGTCAAGGCTGAATTCAGGAACACACATGCGTACATACAGGTGTACATGTGGGCATCTGTGCTCTGGCTAACCTTTCCTTTGCGATTCAGCTCGTCCAGGCGTTTAGTGTGGCTGATGAACTGCGACGTGGGCTTTCTGACTCTCACCGCCGTCACATGGACACCATCCCCTGTGATGCCTGCGCCACCGTCAGTGCCGCTCTGTGTCGGATGATAGTGAGCTGGGCCTGAGGACAGAGAGATCCAGATTACAACGCACGTGTCAGAGAGGGAATTCAAGATTTGCTGCGCCATGATTAGTACGTTCGAAACTCTCCACCTCCCCACACTGCGCTTTTGGCCCACATTCGACACACCATAGCGAGGAAGTTCGTTCTTAGATAGATGTTCCATATCCTCCAGACAGCTGCTTCGTTCATTGAGAGCTCCTCAGTGGAGGAAGACAACGAATGAATAGCAGATAAATGGTCGAGTCCATCGCAACTTCTGAGCTATGATTGGATGAGCCGTGTCTATCAAAATATTGCGAGTTCAGCAGTACACCGCTGCATAGAGAAAACTCTGGGTGTCATGGTGGTTCAGTCACTGGGTCTCCTGCTACCATATCACAACTGCTCCTAAGGTAAACCATCAAAAGGAGGGCCCGTTTCCCCTAGCTTGTCATCCCTCAGAATCCAGCAATACCGAAAACATCCGTTCATTCATTGATCAACGTGTTCATCACCAGTACAGGTACTATGTGTAACTACATGTACCTGGTAACGGTGCCTTCTTGCTGTCGCCAAGCTTTGTTTCACGCTTTGACAAGGTGCCGAATGCTCCGTTCCGACCCACACTGTGTGCACAAATCACATATTCACACAAACACACACACACACACACACACACACACACACGGAATGATATCCCACCGAGCGAGCAGTAATGTACTTGTACTAGTAGCATTCAAGCAGTATTTCAGAAACTTCACTGCATGGTGCAGGGTGACTGATGCAATCTGTTCTTGATCACTGCTTTGTGAGAGAACTGAAGTCACAGCCAAACAGCATCCCAATGATTCCAATCTCTTGGGAGTGATCCCAGTATGATGTCACCATGACCTCATCAAACTATTCTTGTACACGATGACATCATTCCACCATTACATGACAGCACAAGCAGTACATGCTTGCTTACTGTGCATTGCGGATGCAGTTGTCGACGATGGATGTGCCGTGGTCTGTATTGTACTTTGATGGGGCTACACAGAATCACAAACACATTCACAGGTCAGTGTGATTGACACACACGTGGACAGACATTTCCACTGAGATCAATTCAAATGTTGCACGGTCCTAATCAATGACAATCCATCTGAATCTTAGTTTGTACAAAGGGTTTCCAGACAAAGGAAGTTTCCACTCTAACATTGATTTCGCCATACATACACTTACCCGGAGGCAGTCTGCTGGGTCGCTCGTGCTTGAACCGCGCCGTACTCTGTCCAAACGGGTTCTTATTCATCCCAGTCACCCTGTACAGCCAGCAGGGGAGAATGGGACACGGGGAGATTAAATTAATAAATAAATTTCACGGTTCGCGTGAGACTCGGTTGGAAGCCGAGTTTTCCGCATCCGCCGTGGGAACGCCACCACCCTCTAGGATCAAAACGGGGAGATTATAGATAGATAAATAGATAGAGGGGGAAGGGAGAGGGAGATAAATAGATAGAGGGGGAAGGGAGAGGGAGAGAAATAGAGAGAGAGACCTACACCGTGAGTAATGTCAGTGAGATGTTGTTGACCTACCAGCTTCGTGTATACCATCCGAGTTCTAGCCAAAGGAGGACAGGGGGTGCAGCGCCCTCCTACTCTGATTGAGTGCCCCCTGTGAAAAAGTGGCGCCCTAATCATTTGTCGTCAGTTTGTGTTTTCATGCCATTCAACGAGAAATGCAGTCAACAGTCACTACTACTAGAGGGTTTATAAAGGCACATTTGTCTGGGGTGAGGCCGAGGGGGGGGGGGGGGGGGTGAGGCCGGGGTTCGCCCCATACGTTGCGTTTCACATGGCAATACAATTTTGAAAAACGGAAAAATGGGTTTTTCCCCTGCCCCGCCCCTACTATTTTGACCTGGCTAGAACCCTACTCCTTGATGGCATCTCTTTGTAAGGCAAAGCTGGCACCTCAGAAGCGCATTACCCCACGGAATGTCTATGGCTGATGTCTTCCGCAATTTTTTACTAGCATCACCCACAACCGCAGTTGGCCGGTAGCACTGTGACAAATGTATAGTTTCCCTTGTTCTTACCGTTTGACTGTCTGCAGCGACGTACGGTTGTCATCATATGTGCCGACCGGCGGACACTGGGGTTTCTGTCCGACAAAACGCTGTACATGTACATGGTGGCACAGAGAGCAAGGCCAGGGAATCGGGCAGCAATCAACACTGGCCTGCAGAGTGGCAACCTCCCTCTCCAAGTGACACAGATCAGCGGTGAAACTGACGATCATGCCACACTGACATGTTAGAATCTGTCATGAACATCTGCCCAAGTGCCTTTAAAACATGTCTGCTATGCTATGTGCTATGCTTGCTTACTGTGCTGTGATTTCAGAGTTCTGTACACCAATACAGTGCTGTTGGTCGCCGAAGAACTGGGGAGGCAGCATCCTAGCCTAGACCGCCGTTCTAATTTGCATGTACTATGTTCATGTACACATGTGTATGCTGTGCTTGGTGAAATCCTAGCCTGTTTGTTCTCCGGCACCCAGCAGTACTGTAGTATTCAATACAGTCATGTACAGTACATACCGTGCTCAGTGCTCCGAACGGTACAGTGATTGCCGGCTCTGCGTGATTACTGCCTCCTGGAGCTGGTTTGCCAAGTTCCGTGCCCACATTGTACTGCCCTGGGCCAGGGATGTCCTGCAACGATGTTGAGCAACAGAGAGCATGCCGTTTTTAATGTGCACGGACAACCCATTGTGCTGATTCAGTGCCAAGAAGTATGATGGGTGCCTACCCCCTCCCCCCCCCAAACACATCCACACACAGACCCCCCCCCCCACACACACACACACATAAACACACAAACATTCCTTGTGACTATGTGGGTGCAATCGCGAACCGTGCATGAAGCTGTGGCGTAACAATCCAGCGCAGTCACCTCCGCAGATCAACTTCAAAGGCATTCAAATACTATTCAGTCAAGCCATTTCAAGTTGCAATACTAGTATACTATTTGTTGTTTGTTTAGCTTCACTTTACTTCACTATAGGCACAGACATAGTTATCTGCCTTTGCACTAGCCCATATGATATACGTTCTTGTCACAGTTCTCGCAAAATGCTGACACTCCCTGACTGTGCAATGTACGGAGTGTTGGGTCAGGAGACTCAGGACCTCTCCTGGCTCAACTTACCCGCTTTGCTTCCTGCTTCTCCAACAGCTCGTGATAACGTACATTCTGAGCACAAGGACGCATGCAACAAGCCAAATAGATCACCATGGGGTTTTTCACACGGACTTTGTCAGAGCATATCCATGCCGGATACACACCTTACCAATCACAGTACTAAGCACAATACCAGACAACATTAGAGGGGAGTATTGAGAGCAACAGGCTTTCCACCTCTTCTCTTCCATGCGCTCTCAGCTGACATGTTGCTACCCTCGCTAGCCATTACACACACTACAAACTCCAAGCAACGAAGGGGTTACGAAGTGCACTGCGAAAACAAATGAACCGTAATCTCCTACCCCTTTCTTACTCGGCATGCACAGTGCGACCGTAATGTACCGTAATCACAAACACAGCAGTCCTTCAGTCCAGACAGCTAGACGTTCTTAGATCGTAGAAGGAAAGTGGAGTCCAGAACAACAAGATCACCCACATGGGTGTCGGAAGGTATTTTAGGGTGGTGTGGTCAACCATCTGAAGCGGGAGGGAGGGGTGAGGGGCTATGCTGAAAAATTCGGAAATGTAGAGCCCAAATCAATCCAGTTTTATTGATTCACAGTGTGGCTGGGGCCAAAAATGGTGGCACGGTCAATACCGTAGTGACCGCAGCGTGTCCAACGTCCCTGACCCATGCGCAAAAAGGAATCGTGAATCGTGATGTCACACGTCACAGTAACGCGATACGGGAATGCAGACTACATGATTGTACACATGACATGATTTTGTAATTGTCGGATGATGGCGGTGAACCCTGCTCAGAGCCATACCATAACACGCACACAGCCTTTGTGATAGAGCCGGGAATTCTTCATTGAAGACAGGTGTGAGTGGATTGTGTCTTCCTTCTCTTTTGCGGTCACACACAACTTACAGAAATGCCAACTGTTTTCATGTCATTGTGTTGTGCATGGCACGATGCCCGAAAACACAGCAAACCCCACGCCCTGCCAGTTGGAACAAGCATGCCACATGATACATCATTTTCAGCCCGATGTACACAACGGTTATCCTTCTTGTGGGTTCACATCCCTCCCCATTCTTACCATGGCTCTCTCCTCTTCCTTCGGTGGTGGTGCAGTCTGCGGCTACAAGCGGCAAGCAAAGAGGGAAGAGACAGTCAAAGCTCACTAGTGCACGTACTCACTCTATGCTGTGCATCCTCGCGGCAGGACCAACAACATGAAGAAAGCATCCGTTCCACAAAGACTGTTGCGTCAATGATTCATAACACTGGCTAAGCAAGTCTAAAGGCCAGTAAAGGGTGTTCCATTACCCCAAGACTGCGTAATGCCTCTATATGGTATACCTTTCCACACAGTAAAGAGCTGTGTGGAGCTGTGTGGAGCTGTGTGGAGCTGTGTGGAGCTGTGTGGAGCTGTGTGGAGCTGTGTTGAAACTTGATATAAACGCAGGCGCCTGGTGTGCGGGAACTAAAGCAAAACTCTGAGTTTCAGCACAGCCCCCCCCCCTTGTGTGTGTGTGTGCGCGCGCGCGCGTGCGTGCGTGTGTGTGTGTGTCTCTCTCTCTGTCTCTGTCTCTCTCTGTCTCTCTCTCTCTCTCTCTCTCTCTCCGTATTGTGTGCGCAACACTAGTCATCTATAGCAGTGCAGTGCACACGGGTGCAATGTACATGTACGTCTACGCTTACTTACCCTGGGCTTACGAGGCTCTACATTGTAGTGGCCTGGTGGTGGTGCATTGCTGGGCTTCTCTGCACAATACACAATACGAGTACAAAACAGTAGACAGCCAGAAGAAAATTCAAACCCACAAATATGTCACAATTTGAGCGGGACTCAGTCAGGCGGAATTGTCCTCATCCGCAGCAACACCACTGCCCGGCCAAGGATCAAGTCGCAGATATAGCAGACAGTGGACAGCAGACACATACTTGAAGCATTAACCCGGCGTATAAAAGCCCAAATACTTACAATATCAACGTACATGTAGCTCCGTCACTGGCACCACCGATGAAAGGGCGGTTGGGCTGGGTTACCATTGGTTTGTTTCGTATTACAAACTGCACATGGCGCTCTGGGAATTAAAACTTTTAATTTAAAACATTAGTTTATTCGCTAAAAGAGGAGTATCGGTATGCTCAGAGCAGTCCTTACGGTTAGGGAATCTCGGTGCCGTGCGCTTAGAGAAATGTGCACCCTTGTACCTCTTTGTCGGCTCAGCTTCTTCCTGCAGTGAACAATAATGCAGAAATACAACACACGGGGCCGTTCATAATTGTCGCCATTCATCATGATCGTACTCAATGTATGCTGTTTGAGGGTGCAGGAGTGCCGGAGAGGTACCGCGATGCGTATGCGAACAGGCCGAAACCGCCACCTATCGTACAGGGTTGTTATAATGAAATCACTATACACATGCTGTCCTGGGGAGGGAGGGGAGGGGAGAAGGGAGGGGCCCCTTAGGGGGGAGGGGGGGGGGATCTCAAAAGAGTCAAAAGGTCTACGTTTGCACGGTTGCAATAAATGGTGATAATTGTGGATAGCCCCTAAGGGGTAATCCGGGGTTACCGACTGCTTTTTTCGAAACAAAAAGTGACAGGTAGTGAGATGATGAATCAACAAGACATTGGATCATGGTGGAATTTGTCGGTAAATCGTCCAGATGCACCGCTGCACGCTCTGTGGATCAAGCATGCCTAGCTCTTGACACTGCACCCTCGAACCATGACCGACGCAGCTTCTATTTCCTGTCGAACAACTACATGCTCCGTGAATCTAACCGGTGTCTGCCCGGGTCTGAATCCCTGCACACTGTGCCATCTGACCAGCATGCATGTTTGTAAGTTCCAGTCCTTTGTTTCTATTTTGTTTAGACCACTCTTGGTCTAAAAATGGACTTGATTCTACAATAAGAGCGGCTAACCAATCGTTTGTCCACCAACTCTTTGTGTAAATTCTATTCCACTCACATCGCATCCATGCACACTGTACCATCTAGCCATGTATGTAACTTATCTCCGTTCTATTCCACTCACATCGGGTATTTGATAGTACGCTGGTCCAATGGTCGGATCATGGGCCTCCTCAGGAAACCTGTGCGGCTGCAGCTGTCCGTTGGCAGACTCGACGAAACCCTGTGCTTGCTTTCCAGCCGGGATGCTAGGCGCGGTGGGCCTGGCCACGTACTTGATACGCGGCTTCTCCGGATGGGCGCGTCGTCGCTGGAGAGAGCATACACGACAGACGGATATTCCGGAAAACTGGACATTGTTTGTACGGTACCACAACTAGTGCACTGTAGAATTTCAGGACAGTATGGTCGGTCGCCGAAGGACTGGGGGGGGGGGGGGGGGGGGAGGTAGCCTCCTAGCCTAGGCCTTTCTAATTTTCAAGTACAACAGTGGATCACCGTGTTTACATTGGTATGCTGTGCTTGGTGAAATCCTACTGAGCCTGGCTGTTCTTCAGCACCCGGCAGTACTGTATAACATTAGTACATGTACAAGCCCGCTGATCAACGGCTCAGCAAACATGGTTACGTATGAATTAAGGAACGGAGCGGAATGTTGTAAAGGATACGCCTACATCCTAGCTGCTGGGTGTGTCAGAGGGAGAGGAGGGGGGGGGGGGTTGCACATACATAATAATATAGGTAGAGGCATGTCAATAACAATGGATCACGTGTAGCGGTTTGAAACTCTGAGCACCATGCCACTGTGTGCAATCATCAGGCAAGAACATCCTTCTACACGGAGTTACATGTACCTGAGCATCTGATTTGTCGTCGACTGTGACTGCTCCCGGTGCTGGTGGAAACGTTCTGTTGAGCGACGGCTTGCTCTTGCTCTCCGGTACATTGTACGCACCGGGACCGGGCGCTGTGGTGGCTGCGGTTTCAAAGCGCTGGGTCTGCAATCAAAGCAGTTAGCACAACAAAACACCGGTATGATGCAAGGTGTACTCCCTAATGTACATGTACATCCACCGCGTAAACTCACCCGACTTGCCAGCGAGGATGTGCCAGCGAGGGAACCCGGCGCTCCAACCTTGAGGTCGGCGTTGTATCTACCCGGGCCGGGTGCCACCACAGTTTGGTCTGGCACGTCCAGGAATGTTGTGCGCTTCGTGAACGAGCTGAATGGAGCCGCTCCTTCGTCTGCAGCGCACACGGAGCAAGCACATTGGAAAGCCATAATCATGGCGACTGAGTAAAGAGGGTCCTGGGGGAGGTAGTCCTTGGCCCAGGGGTATGGACAATCTCCCTCTCCAAATACTCCCCCCCCCCCCCCCCGTTAATCCTTCGGCACAGGATGCAGGAAACCTAAGGTCAGGCTGTCTAGTCTTCGTTGGCCAGGCTGGCTTGCAGGGAAGGCTTCACAAGACACAACATGCATGGTGGAGATGCAGTGTAGTTGGCCCAGGCTTTGACTGGACGCCTTTCCGCCCGCCCTGTGTTGACGATATACGATAGGGAAAGAATGCAAGAGTTGCAATGCGAGAACTTGAAGTGCATGATTGTATTGTAAGTAGCTTGTCGCTGGGGTCGAGCAGCTGCATGTGTACTGATAGGAAACCGGCGACTGTTCGTAGTTGGCAATGTGAGCAGTTACTGAGCAAGATGTAGTACAGTACTCGCTCGTGTGCGAGAGATTCCTTGTCTGGCACGGTGTTTCGGTATACCGTTCTTCGCACATACATGTACATGTACATGTACGATATAGGGACTGGTATGGCAGGTAATGCAGGTAATGGCTGTGCCGGTCATTTTTTAGTACCACTGCTGTGACAGTGTTCATAGAGTATCCGGTGTGCATTTAATTGTCTAAAGGTTCCAGCAGGCTATTCTCGTACACTACTTGCTACAGTCTCTCCCTCCTAAACTGTCCAATGAGGTCGACTGCATGTACTACATATGGCTGCATACCAGTACTGCCATCTGTTGCTTGAGGAATACAATCATGTATGGCCATAAAAACCCTGCAATCGCCACGCAAAGTGGTCATTGGCTACCCCAGCCATGTATTGCTTGGAATAAAATAAAATAAATAAATGTACATGTTAAGTTAATGTAGATGTATGTACAGGTACCTGTGGCTGAAACAACCAGACATGATGCATTGTAGACCTTGAGGCATGATGCATTGTAGACCTTGAGACATGATGCATTGTAGACCTTGAGATGCATCCGCCCATGCATGGTGCTGACATGAGGCATGGGGAAATGATTGGCCCTGTAGCCGACTTGCCCCCCCCCCCCCCCCCCCCCCACCACCACCACCACCACCAAGTACCAGCCCTCATCAAGGAGCTGACTCCATGCCAATGATAGTGCCAGGTGATACATTGTATGCATTGTGGACTTGTTACCCACACAGTGTGTGTACTATGATGTACAGACAGTATACAGGACTAACTTTTCTTCTTCTCCGGCATGTCATAAGTGCCAGGCCCAACATGGTCCACCGTGGACCTGTTCTCCTGATGCAGCACTCTGACCGACCGTCCGTACATCT